GTGATTAAATTGGGTCAAACAATTGATAATTAAATATATTTGTAATGTTATATCATCGATTAACAAATTAATATTAGGTATATAAGAAAATGAGGTAAAATTAATAATATAGCTTGCATGAAAACGTAAAAAGAAAAGTAGGTGGTTGAAAGCACCACGTAAGCAAATACTTGTTGTGGTCACTGAATTTCAATGATGGAAAGCAGACAGCACCAACCATCACAAATCACAACTTGTTTAAATTTTACCATAACTATGTGTCAATCATATTTTAAGATGCCAACATCTACTTCATTCATTAATTGATATTTATGTTGATATTTTGGAGATCATAACACTTTTTTTAAGACCATGCTCGTAAAGCTAGTATCATAATTTAATGCTTGATAACTCAAAGGAAAAATATATTTTTACATTCAATTTTTATAGACATGCGATAGACAATCCTAAATTATTATTATTTTGATTTTATGAAAAAAAAATATAAAATAAATAATAATGTAAAAATTTAAAATAAATTGTGAATAGGATGTTTTAATACTTTTTCAATATCAAAATACCAATACTCTATAACTCTACCTCTTCTATGTTTTCTCTCACATCCTTTCTGTTACGATTATTTTGCTGTAGTTTTCATACTTTATGACTCTATATAATTTTTTAAGTTTAATTATTTATTTTGTCTTTATGAGTGCATAATTTTTTTTATCTTTAATTTTAAAACTAGTGTATCTTCGTACTTATAAATATTATTTAAATTTTTTTAGTTTCTACAAATATATATTATATATGATTTAAAGTTATAGGAGTTTAGTTTTTTTAAATAATATATATAAAATATTATGATACTATCATCACATAAATATATATTTTTTTATAATCAAGGATGTAACGAATTAATTATTTAACCTCAGTCAATAAAAAGATATTAAGTTAGATTTGATTGAATTTTTGTATTTTTTGTATTTTTTTTATTCAATCTAACAAAATCATCCTTATTAGCTGGATTAATTAGATGATTAATTAGATCATAATTTAAAAAACATATTAAAATTTTAATTTAAAAATATAATTTTTAGATTGATTTTAAAAAAATAGGCTATATAATTTATTATTTTAATAATTTAATAATATAATATATTTAAAATACACATTTAATTAATATAATAATAAATTAAATTAAATAATAATAAATTTGTTTATTAAAATTATAATTAATATTATTTAATATTTTATTCGTTGGGATAGATTGAGATTTTGGGTTAAATATCAAAATCTATCACCAACTTATACAAGATTGTATTAGATTGTGGTAGATAGGATAGACAAGAAAAAAATAAGAAGTTATCAGGGTAATTTTGCTTATTTTTAAAGTAAAAAACTTTATATATATATATATATATATATATATATATATATATATATTATTTTTTTAAAATAGAAAATTAGGAATTGTTATAACATCTATTGTGACTCTATCACTAGTCAGATATAAATTATTCAAGTCAATAAATATCTTTAAGTTTTGTTTGGACATGGAGATGGAAAGTGGTGGAATACATATTTGCAGCTAAAGTTCATTTTTCAATCAAATAAATTTGATTTTTTCGAAATAAAAAAATTCAATCTTCTCATTGTGCGAAGAAAACTGTAGAAAGTGAAAAATATAACACATAATCGATTTTTTAAAACAAAATAATTGATTATATGATAATATTTTTTAAAAATATATTTGTTTAAAGAAAATATAAATTATAATGAATAATTGAAAAATAATAAATAAAATTATTAAAATAAATAAATAAATCTATAATTTTTATTTATTCTCTCCTTTCTTTTTATTCTACTCTTTCCTCCTTAATTCAAAGAACTATATTCTTTATTATCTTTTTCTTCATTTCTTTTATTTTTCACTCTCTTAAATTAACAATGTAATTGATGTCAGCAAAATAAAGATCCAGCACAACAACTATGTCTTATGTGCTTTCATTAGGCATATGTCTTTATTCTTTTGAAATTTCAATCAATCAATCATGAGAGAAGTGACTCCTACAAATTAATTTCAAATGTTAACTAAACTTTAAGATTATATTTAACATGTTATCATATATATAATTTCAAGTCGATATGATCTAAGTAGCGCATGATTTTATTGTTAGATACATCGTTGCAAATGTGAAGTTTTTTAAGTGAATCTCGACTTTTAGTAATAATAATATATTTATTATCTTGTTACTTGACATGTTGTCGTGTTTGTAGTTTTTTTTTTTTCTAAATTAACATTCATTTGAATAACAAGTTTTCATTGTCAGCTACTTGGAGTCCCACTTTCTATAAGATATTTATGTGAAGGAAGTGTTGCTTCTATCAATAAATATATATATATATAAATATATATATATATATATATATATATATATATATATATATATATATATATATATATTAATATCTGTTTTGGTTAACCTCTGTCCTTAGATACAATATAAGAATATTAATTATTTATTATTTTTTAATTTATGTATTTAATTTCTCTCCTTTGATTATCATCATTTTGTTAATATAGATTTATGATGTGATATGAGTATTAAACAACTCATTTTAATTTTTTAATAAAATTTAAATAAATTATTATCTTGTATATTTTGATTTGTTAATAAAACAACTATTAAAAAATAAATAAATAATATTTAAGAATATTTTTAATGAAAATTATTTATTAAAATATTAAGATACTTTGAAGTAATTTTTTATTTAAGGAATCTTATTTAATAATGTAAATTGTTTAATTTCTTTTTTATAGTTATTTCATTAAATAATTTAAAAAAAAAGAATATAAAATATGGGAAAAAATGAATTCTTTTAAATTTATTAAGATAATTTTAATTGGAGTAAAATAATTGGTGAATTACATATTGTAACAATATAAATTCACCTTTTTTTCTCTTTTTTCAGATAATTAATAATTAAAATGAGTTGTTTTATTAGAGATATTTTATTTAAGTATTTCAATAAATAATATGTTTTTACTTTTTTTTCTCACATAATTTTCACCTACTCATAATTATGTATATTTAAAAATAAACAAGAGAATTTTAAAAAATAGTATAATAATAACAAAAAAAGTTAAACACTGTAATTATAATAAATTAAACAAAATATCACAATAAAAAAATAAAAAAATATGAAAAATTTATTCACTTGTATAATTATAATAAAAAAAACTATTTTACAAAAAATTTAAAATTTAAAAATATATTATATAACATCGTAAATTGATTATTTATTGTTGGTAGGTTATTATATAAAACATCGTATATAAGTTAGAACAGATATATTATTCTCAATTATTACTTAAATAAAGTATCTTTTGTGGATTATTTACATAAATTATTATATGTGACTTACTTATTTAGATTAGTGTATATAGATGGTCCATTTTGACTATGATTTATGGATTATCTATATAAAATATTATTTATAAATTATAATATCGTTTTGTCTATGAATTACTTTAATATAATATATTTATGGATTAATGAAATAAAAAAGAAAATAATACTAATATATATATATATATATATATAAAATAATAATAGGATAAATGTTAGATAAAATGTTTACAATTAATTAAATAGATTTTATGTTGAAGTTAATATAAAAAAATAATTAAATAAATACTACAATTTATAGAAAAAATTAATTATTAATTAATTAATATGGAAAAGAAATAATTAATATTCTTTATTTATTTAATTTTTTCTCTCAATCATTTATTATTTTATATTTTTCCTAAATGAGAAAAAAATAATTAATACTCTTTATATAAACCATATTACGATATAAAGATGTATTATTTGATGTAGTATTTATGATTTTTTTGACAAACTTTTTTAAGATTAAAATTAAAATTGGTTTATATATATATATATAAAATATAAAAAAATTATAATACAAAATTGATTTATATATAAGTTCAATTTTATTAACGACATGACAACTATTGAAAAATGTTAAGTAAGATGATGTCACCTTAAAATAATTATTGACATGACGAAATCAGATACACGTCAAATCATATCAATATGTGAAATTACTATTTACAAAAAATACGAAATCCAAAAATAACAAAAATGTAATTATATTTAAAAAGCTAAAAATATATTTAACAAAAATTGAAAAGATGCGAGGTGTATGAAATTCCCTGGTTACAAATATTTTGTATTCTTTACATAGAGTATCCTATCCTAGCTACACTGAAATTAAAAAAATTCCATAATGATTGGATTCAATCAAAAAACATAATTAAGGAATCATTCACATTTGTAAATCCTCCACATAGCTTCCTATTGATGTCCACCGCGAATAGAATGTAGATGCTTCACATTTTCACGTGGCCATGATAAAAAATGCTTCTTTTTCATGCTCAAATCCACTCCTTGCCAAAAAGTTTATCCTAACACATTGTTTTATCTAATCAGTTAACAACATGATTGAATGTTGAAGCTAATCTGCGAGTGAGGGGTGAATGTTCTCGTGAATCAGTTATTCCCCACCAACTTGCTTGCCAAATTGACGTAAAATATGATTAATTTCACAGTTGAAAACTCAACTGTTTACCTTCTTCACATATAGTGCGCTGGCCCTACATCATCCATGCTTTCATCACTCCCTCACATTCATCTTTCACTTTTTTTTTTTTTTTTTTATGCAAAATTGTCAAATTCCAAACCTGTTTCTGCAAGGAACAAGAGAAACTAATAATAATAATAATAATAAAGAAAATGAAAGAGAAGACAATGTGGTCGATTATGGCTAACCAATGAATCTACGGAGGTTGTTGATATAATGAATCCTAATCAGTTCACACTGTGGTTATTAGTTGCCTATTTGAGCTAAGCATCCATTAATTAAATTAAGTCTCTCTGAAGTCAAAAATCATTTGTTTATTAGATCTTTCCTTGTTAAACGAACCTTCCCTTTCGTGGGGTCATTAGCAAATGTTGGGTGTGATTGTACCCTTGATTTGTATGTATATCCTTGCTTTTGATTCCCTGTCGTCATCAGTTTTGGTATTTGCTGATGTATGAATTTCTAAATTTGTGGCACTGGTAAATCTGCTCGTATAGTAGCAGCAGTAGTAACAGATATAGGTATGTGCATTATTGTTCTAATAATAATAAAGAAACAACCATTTGGAATTTTCAATGGTTTGGACTAGATTTTGATATTGGCTAGTTGCTTAATGGAATATGAAACATAATATAAAAATACAGATATGTTTACTCACATTTTTTTATGAATACTATTAGCCCAACAGTTGTGTTTGTTGATCCAGAAATTATAGTCTTTATACGTATAATAAAGAAAAAAGAATGGAAATAAGTGATAATTGATGGAATAGGAGAGAAAAATACTGTTAGAAAGTGTTACACCAAGAGTATAGTTATTATGTATGTGTGTCTTACTGAACGTGACGTTTGGTGTTATTGGATTTCTTTTTAGGTGTATCCTGAAATTTCAATCAGTAAGTGTTTACCTTTTAGGACTTTCTTTTCCTGTGACAATTAAGAAGTGCTGTTAGGAGCAGCATTATTATTCTTTGTTTTCTTCTCTCCTTCTGCAAGTTGTGGTTGTGGATATCTTGCTATAATGCTATATAGTCACGCATTTTCTGTCTTTTTCTTTTTGGCTCCATAGGGATCTCCCATCTATTGTGCACTCCAAAAACTTCCGACTTTGTTTTGTTAATTGTTACAATCTGAGAATACCTCTTATTTAAATATTGGCTGCCAAACAGTGCCTAAAACATGTCAGTGACTGTTTCCATATTTAAGAGCTAGAGGTCTGGAAGTCTTGTTACACAGTACACAAAACAAGAGCTTTTTGTTCAGTTATAGTATTTTGACCTGAGGCAATGAAAACAAGGAGAGGAAGACGCTCAGAGGTAAGGTTCAACGTGCCTCTGACTGCTGCTTAAGAATAAATATCTTTCTTAAGAACTTCTAATTTTGTCTCATTGCAGCAGGCCTTTTGGCCCTCCCTTGTGATGAAGAAGTGGTTAAACATAAAGCCAAAGGTGTATGATTTTAGTGAAGATGAAGTGGACACTGAAACTGAGAGTGAAGATGATGGTATGCTTTAGACTATACTATGTTTCTTTTTGCTGTTTAGCTTTATCTTTTTCTCCTTTCATGTTTTTTTCCCTTCTTTGTTCTTTCAATTTTCATTCAGTTTGCTCTCTTAAAGACTCAAGAATGGGTGTGCGTGAAGATAATCCACTTCGAACACCATCCATATTCCCAAGTCATACATCAGGCAATACTTTATTCCTTTGCATTACTGTGCTTCTTTAAAGGAGAATATGTGCTCTTTGCTTTTACACACCTTCTGCCATTGCTTGCTCTGGTTAAAATCAGTTATAGGAGAGGCTTGTTATGAAATCTAGAACCGGAACAGTATTTGGCCATAGTTTGCGTAGCTTTGCTCCTTCCTTTTGGAGGACATGGAAAACATTTTTTCTTAATTGGTGTCAAAATAGACATGCCAGGATACAAATACATATTGATGTTTATGGTGCAAGCATGCATCTGAAATATTCCTTGGAAAAACAAAGGAAATCTGAACCAAATTCCAAATGTGTTACTACCTACGAAGTATATGAAAGAAATTTTGTAAACGAGCTAGACTAATTTTGTAAACTTGTAACGATTGACTGTTTTGTACACCTGATTGAGTTCAAAGTGTTAAAATGACCATCACATATGATTTGATTTGTAATTCAGATGCATCTTATAAGGGCTATAAGATCGGACATAGAAGAGGGAAATCAGAAACTCTGCGTGTTCAATACATAAATACAAAGGAAGTGAGGTCTGGTGGTAACCAAGTTCTTTATGATTAATTTGATGATATTAATGAAAGGAATCATAAATTGGTTATTTTGCAGGGTGACAATTGGCACCTGGAATGTTGCTGGAAGACTACCATGTAAGGATCTTGATATTGAGGACTGGCTTTGCACAAATGAGCCAGCAGATATTTACATTATTGGGTAAGTAGTTTCTCTAGATGCCTAATACTTTACTATTTCTGCAGTGAGTTCAGGTTGCACCGTTTCCTATGTTTGCTCCTTCAAACATAATGACAAATATTTGGATCATCTACCAGATTTTAGGTAGAACTTAAATTTGATAAATTTCTTGGAGTTTCCCTTTCGATAAGTACATTAATTTCACATTATTGCCTTCTCCCCTATTCATGCTTTTTGTTTGCTTTATTTAAATAGCGCGTGATCTGCTAAGTTTTTTTTTTATTGATAAGTCCATAAAAATGATTAATTAATGCAATAGGCAAATAGATGGAAATGCCTGAATGATCAAAAGTTCAATGTTTTTAGATGGAAATGCCTGTTTATATCCAAAATAATGATTGCTTTTAGCAATAAATTAAAGCTATCATGTTAAAGCAATACTTTTGGGCTAAATTTAAGTTCACTCCTAGACCCTAAAATATTTTTGCCTAGGATTTTATTTACATGGGGTTTTAAGTGAGAATCTAAATACAATGGGACGTTGAATTTTCTTTCCTATGCTTCATACGAATGGGTCCAGTCCTTTAAACTCATGAAAATTTTCTTTTTAATCCAACGATGAGTTTAATTCGTGTAACTTATGACATGACTCATGACAGTGATGGACCCAAGACTCAGAAGCAGCGATATAATTTATTTTAAAAAATTAACAAATATTATAGATGAGTCTCTCATTTTACAATGGGTTAATATATAAACTTGGGGTAGAAAATTAACTTTAGTATATCTTTTCGCAATTTTGAAAAAGAAAACGGGGGTTGGAATTATCCACTTTCATTCCCAAGCAGATCTATCACTGCTCATGAATACAATTTTAATAATGACTGTCGGCATAATAGTCTCAGATCAGTTAATCAATCAACGTGTTGTCTTGCTTTACTTTCATTTCCCGATTAGTTTTTGGTGTTTGTTTACAACGTATCTATTCAAGAAAAGAAAAAGATTGATGCTTAGCATACATTCTATCAATGGCTTCCAATTTAAGGAAAAGCTGCATCGAAAGTTCCAGTCAGAACTGAAGTGATTCGTCACACATCCTTCTGCTAAATAAGCCTTCTACGTACTTAAAGTCATGTTACAATATTTTATAATTAATATTTTTTGACGTAATTTATTGTTAATTGAAATATGTTTGAAAAAAATGAAATTGGGTGGGTGGTATATCTTGCTTAATGAACTTAATTCATAATTTTGCAGTTTTGAATAAATTCTAAATAATAGAAAAGTTTGTATTAAAAAGTATCTTAGTAGTAATCGTCAGCAAAGATTTCTGTGACCTTGTTATGTTAAAGTTCAACATGAGAGGTCCATTTCTGCTTCTTTAGTGTGTTTGTAAAATTGGTCTTCTCACTGTGTGATTGACTTCCACACTAACGCACTGCTTTCAACAGTTTCCAAGAGGTAGTCCCTTTGAATGCTGGAAATGTTCTGGGGGCAGAGGATAATACACCCATCCGGAAATGGGAAGCAATCATTCGAAGAACTCTAAACAAATCTTCTGAACCTGAGAGCAAGCAAAAAAGCTACAGTGCCCCTCCTTCTCCTGTTGCAGACAGTATACACGTTAATCCACTGGACACAATGAATGAGGAGTACTTGGGAACTTTCAACAATGTTGAGGTAGAACGAGAAGAAGTGAAAAGCATAATTGGTATTGAAAGGAGTTTACAGTTGAGGAAAATAAATGACGTTGATCTTCAGACCATCCTTGACTGGCCTGAACGTCCTTTAGATGCAATCCCACATACTGATTCCAGTTTAAAATTACGTAGAGTATGCAGCTCAGACAGAATTGGCTTTAACTGGACAGGTAAGGCATCAAAATATGGGAGTGCAATGAAACGGTCACACCATAGTTCGGGAAATTTGGGCTTGCTATGGAAAGAGCAGCAAGTGATGCCTGAGGAAGTAATTGATACCCTTGATGAGTTATCTGACGAGGAAGATGACGCTTTTCTTGAATTGCCAAATGATAACGAAGATAATGAAATAGGTGACGTGAAATCACATCGAAAGTATGTCCGGATTGTCAGCAAGCAGATGGTAGGAATATACGTGTCTATTTGGGTGCAAAGGAGGTTGAGAAGGCACATTAACAATTTGAAAGTTTCTCCAGTTGGAGTTGGTCTTATGGGCTACATGGGAAACAAGGTAATGGAGCAATGCCTGTTTTCACTCAGAATTTGACATCATTATATCATAGGAGTATATTTTATGCGTTCCAAGACAATAGAAAGGAATCTCAGTGTCAAGTATTAACAAGACAAGATAAAACTTTGCAGCGGTATGGTATGCATTCCATGAGACTGCAATCTCGGCGCAAAAAGCATGTTCACTGATCACATTGCACCCCAGAATGTTGTGACAAGGTGCTTGCTACCCACATAGGACTGCAAAGGTTAGCAGAGAGGTATCCTACTTGCTCCCGTGTTGCAGTTTTTGAGAGAATAGCAGTTCCCTCCATGTTCTGTTGTGTTGCAATGTGATCAGTTTACGCACTCTTTGCTGAGACTTATACATATTAGTGTAGTGTTTCAGAGTGAAAGAAGGAATACACGTATAACAGAAACAACACAAGCTAAGATCATCACAACTAGAAAATCACAAGATACTAGCTTTATATACAACTGTCTAATCAGAAAACAAAAACTGTTTCCAAAACCTAATATCCCTAATATAGGTTGACCGCAAGAAAACTCACTTTCTGTGTTTACATTTACTAATAGAAGAACTTGACTCTAACCTTTGTGAATGTGACAGTGGTAGCAAATTATGTCTGATGCAGGGGTCCGTTTCAGTTAGTATGTCTCTCTTTCAGTCACGTTTGTGCTTTGTTTGTTCCCATTTGACTTCTGGTCAGAAGGATGGAGCAGAAACAAGAAGAAACTCAGATGTTCATGAAATTCTTCGCCGTACTTGTTTCTCATCTTCTGTCTTTGATACAGATCAGCCACAAACAATCCCATCACACGAGTAAGTTTTAATTTATGTTTAAAATTGTCCTTTACAACGACAGAAATTAAACGCTGCTATTAAGATGTAAAATGACTAAAGACCGACGGTTTGTGCGAACAATTTGACAAACAATAATGTATATCAGAGTTTTAAGCTAGAGATATTTAAAGAATTTAGCATAAAAAAGGAAATAATTGACATTAAGTTGAAATCTCACAAATAAAACCTGTTAAATGAAAATAACTACAGTCAACTGCAGAATTAGATGCAGATAAAAAGTATAATCTGATTTATAAGTAAACAGAGCAGACGTAGGAACATTATTAATTCATAGAAAGGGAAATGAGCAGATTGAAAATGGTGATATATAATGCTTAAATGATGCTGTTACGAACATATTGGATTCATTTGTGGGTTGCTCCCTGCCAACAGTCAAATTTTCTGGTTTGGGGATTTGAATTATCGTATCAATATGATGGATGGGGAGGTTCGAAAGCTGGTAGCTCTAAAGAAATGGGATGAACTCATGAATTACGATCAGGTGAGAATTGTGAAACTCAGACTAGACAATCTACAAAATCTAGACTGAGATGCAAAAGTGTTTAACCGTTGACACCTAGCTTCAAAGATTTGCTGATCTACCCGTGATAATTTATCGACGAGAGTTTCTAATTCCTTCACCTGATTTTCAGCTAATTAATGAATTACGTAGCGGGCATGTGTTTGATGGATGGAAAGAGGGATTGATAAACTTCCCACCCACTTACAAGTATGAATTTAATTCTGATATTTATATCGGTGAGAACCCAAAGGAAGGGGAAAAGAAGAGATCACCAGCCTGGTAAGTGCAAACATGTGAATGTCTAGTTTGTGCTGTTTCTATATATAAACGTATATGCAGTAAGTGACTATGGGTAAGATTATACAGGTGTGATCGTATATTGTGGCTAGGAAAAGGAATAAAGCAACTCGAATACAGTCGTGCAGAAATTAAGCTCTCAGATCATCGTCCAGTTAGTTCAATATTCTCAGTTGATGTTGAAGTATTTGACCACCGCAAACTACAGCGAGCTCTGAATTTTACAAATGCAGCAGTACACCCGGAGATTTTCCTCAAAGATGATGGAGAGTGGTCATATTAGATATCCGCCCATAATAAGGATATATAAAAAACTTATTATTACTGGTAAATTTACATTTTTAACTTCTTTCTCCTAAACAAAATTATCTAAGAAATACTCTACTAGGCTAATATAGATAAAGAAAATTCTTACCATCAAAAAAGTTATAATGGACTAGTTTTCCCTTAATAGTTTTGTTTACTGTAATCACTCTTTGTCCTCCGCAGGCCGAAAGAAAACTGACTTCGCCTAAAATTCAAGCAGATAATGAAAATGATAGTCATGACAAGAAAATGTACATTGGCATACATCAGTCGGTGCTTTTTATTTTTAATTTTTTGAATTGTATTACATTTTTTTTTTTACAATTTTGATCTCCCGGCATGACGATACATCCTTTTGTTACGGCAGATTTTTGTTTTGTATCTTAATCTACATGTATTCGATTAGTGATATAATAGGATCTGGAATGCTTGCTACTGTATAGTATCTCCAAGTTCCCGAGATATTCAAATCATCTACAAAGAAATGAGTTAATATATTGAGAGAGGAATTATCATACACATATAAATAAACAACGTAATATTAAATCACATTAAAAGTTTGGGTTATGGGCATCAGTTCTCCAAGGTGATACAGCATCAATGAGGAATTCAGACGCAAATTACCCATTAAACGATGAGATTCATCACTTGCCCTTTCTTAATTTTAATTTTGAACAACTATATTTAAACACCAAACAAATTCACAGAGTGGCAACAAGAGAAAACCTAGCAAATCTAGAACCCTAAAAATTAATTAAAGCTTTGAAAGAGGGAACGAAGATAGCGATCAGAACCTGTCGGGATTTCATGCATACATCACGCAAATATCAGCGGATTGACAGACGAATGAATTTTTATCATCCCTTCGCTTAGCCTTTTTCCCTCTAAACTAAACTCATGTTTCTTATCAACTAATTCCGAACAGATGCGTATATATCTTAGTTAACAAAAAAACTATAACAAATTTCACACAATAGAATGCCCAAAAACACTAAACAGTGACTATATTAGATTTAAAAGGTCGAATGTTGAGCTCAGAACTTCTTAGAGGATATTGCGCCGTCATCAGCGAACACAAAACATGCGATGCCTCCGGCACGGTTACATCTTCATCACAGACTCAGCACTTTCACATTTAGATAAGAAAATAACAAAAGATTTTTTAAGAATAAAAAAACACCGCAGAGTAGGGAACAGGAAAGGAACGGGAAAGATCACAACAAGATGTATCTAGATAAAAATAACAAGATGAAGATAACAGCGAGAAAAATCACGAAGGAAACGAAGAAAGGAAGCGAAGACTATAATTCATCGCAACTGATATTACTTCTGAATGGTGGCATGAAAATGGCGATAATTTATAGATGTAAATTAGGGCTTTATCATTTTAGGCACGACTAGGGGTTCCGCTTCGCACGGCAAGGTAGACCCTATTGGGTCGGGTAGAATTACCAGCACCTTTTGTAAGCCCAGTAAGTAGTGAATACTACTTGATAGATAGATGCGTAATCATAGGCCCGTTAGGATCATAAAATAAAAAGGAATTATAACAAAATAAAAATAATAAAACGCCTATAAAAAAATATGACTAATACGACCAAAATATTTTTTAATATTAGAAGGGAATACTGTTGATTTATTAGTTGCGGGAAACCCAATTCAATTATGTTTTTGACAGTAATTAATCATCACAAAATAGGTGTTTTTTTTTCAATAACTTTTTATATTTTTATGAAAAAATTTACTTGTTTTTCGGTTATGTTGAACGAGTAAAAATATATTTAACGAGTAAGATTATTATACGAATCAATATGATACTTAATTTAATTTATTTAATTTCATAAATTATTACTCAAATATCGTTATGTTGTAAATTTTTTAATTCAAATTTTTTCGTGTATTTTATTTTACCATCATAAAAAAAAAAAAAAACATATTTTCAGGTCACATAAACGGGAAACCTTTATTAATCTTTGGATTAATCATTCATTCATCATGCATGGTAATGCTCTTAAGTAGTCTCTAATTACTATTTAAAGCAATTTAAATCTAAAATTTATTAATATTAGACAAAATTGTTCAATAGACGAATCACATTTCAAAAACTGAGACAGGTGTTCTGGAACTTCCCCAACTATTGAAACCTATAGATAGAAAATTATTTTATTTTTTAAAATGTACTAACAACACAACTAAGTCTAATTGAAAAGGTTTTTCAAAATATATTTATACATTAACTTTTAAACCATTTATGAAAAAATCAAATAAGGAATTATCTTCGCAGTTTGAACCGGATGACCATATACTTAACTTCTATTGAGACTCTAAGTTTTGATTAATAAATCATATAGTTTTAATTTTGTAAGTTTACTAGAATCTTCAGGCATTCCTATTTTGGTATGTCATTATAACATGAAACTTATATAATTCTCATATGTTAAATGAACTTTCTTTGACCTGTTTATATTTTGAATTTTGGAAGACTTTGAAGATTATATGCAGTAAATATAAACAATTTTGAAAATTTGGTCAAAATTCAACATGTCATGTCATACTATATAGGATCAAAATTATTGTTAGAATTTTCATGATATTTAAATTCATTATATTTCAGTGTATATTTACAGACTTTAAACCTTTTATAGGTTTTATTATTATATTTTGTTTAATGGTGTGTATTTTACTTCATTTATGAACGGTCGATTACTTCCTATCAAATAATAACTCATTCTTATATTGTGACAGTATATTAATATGGGTCTGCATTCTCATTCTCGTATAGGTTGTCTTCTTGGAGAATACAGTCGGTGTTCCTACAAAAACTCTAAAACACTAAAGTTAGTAGGATGAAAGAGTAGAGAATGGGGGAATCAATTCTACTATGCTTACCTTGAAAGTGTCATTTATTTATACTACCTTATGGGCTTTGAGGAGACCTGACTTTTCTGCCTTTTGGCCACATGGCAACAATACAGAGCCAATCCGCGTGATTGGTGCAAAGGTGGTCTGTGCGACTATAGTCTGCGTGGCTACAATGGCCCGTGAACTCGTCCGTATATATAGTATATTTTGTCTCCTAAGTTTGTGATAGGGAAAAATAACACAAGAATAAAAAAATTACAAGAATATATGATGAACAACAATAAAAAGAATTATAGTAGAGAACATCAATATTTTTAGCACGAGAAAACCCTTCAATACGAGAAATAAAAACACACGGACACAAATTAATCAATCAAGTTCCACTAATATTAAAAGTATGAGTATAAGAGAGTCAAATCAAAATACATAAACAAGTGTCTACAAACAGTCAATATATCAAAGCAACATAGTACACTGGAAGAACAAAGAAAAGAAGCATAAAATTCAGCCATAACACATGACTGATATCTCCAACCATACACTTCTAATTGACGATCTCATCAATCAAAACGAAGACTCTTACGTCACAAACCTGTTGTCACAATTTTAGCCTGATCTAAGGTGAATGAAATGGAAATCGTAATTTTACAAAGGCAGCTCAGTAAATAAGTGAAATTATTTTCTTTTCTTTTTCTTTTCCAAAGGGCTGCCAAATGTTACTCTCTCTTCTGACCTAGAAGACCATTTTTTACTTAGGTTAAGCAGGATAAAATGAGTTTGACTAATTTGGGTATTTTAGACACATAGTTGGAAGTTCAACCCAACACATCTCCCTCTCACAACTATGTGGAGGTGATCACCAATCCAGAGATCTCACAACAAGTTTCAAACTTTTGTTTTGGCAATATCTTAGTCACCATATCAACACCATTGTCATCTATATGCACTTTATCTAACTCCAACAACTTAGCATCAAAAACATCACATATTCAATGATACCTCACATAAATATGTTTGGATCTAAAATAAAAAGTTGGATTCTTACCAAGATGAATAACACCTTGACTGCCCACAAATAATGGATAATTATTTTGTACAAAATCAAGCTCTTGTAAAAATTTCTTCAGTCATAGCAGCTCCTTGCATGATTTTGTAATGATAATGAACTTTGTCTCTGTTGTAGATAATGCTACAAACTTTGACAATCTTGATTGTCAAGTCACAGCTCCCCTGCAAACTTAATCAAATAGCCCAAAGTGAACTTTCTAGAATTAATGTCTCCAACCATATTTGAGTTTGAGTAACCCATCAAAATGGGTTTATTACCTCCAAAACAAAATTTCAAATCACTAGTACCATGAAGATACCTCAAAATCCATTTCACAACATTCCAATCTAGTTGGAGTGGACAAGAAACAACTGACTATATCAACAACATGTGTAATATTAGGTATAGTACATATAATTGCATATATCAAATGACCCACTGCAGATGCATAAGGAACTCTACTGTATATGATTTCTCAACTTCATTTGAAGGACTCTACTTAACTCTCAATTTAAAATGAGTTACAAGAAGAGTGTTCACTACTTTAACATTTTCTGTCTGGAATCTTTGCAATACCTTCTTAATGTAGTGCTTCTGTGATAGTCAAATCTTTTTTTCACTTCTATCACGTGAGATACTTATGTCAAGTGTCTTTTTAACAGATCTCATGTCTTTTATAGCAAATGACTTACTCAATTGCTTCTTTAACCTGTCAACTCGGGAAATATTTTTCCTAACAATAAGTATGTTATCGACATATAACAACAAGATAATAAAATCATCATCAGATAACTTTTTGACAAAGACACAATGATCAGAAGTAGTCCTTTTATAATCTTAATCACACATAAAAGACTCAAACTTCTTGTACCACTATCTTGGAGTTCGTTTCAAATTGTATAGACTCTTTCTCAGTCTACACACATAATCTTCCTTATCTTCAATAAGAAAATCATCATGTTGTTTCATGTAAATCTCTTCCTCCAAATCTTGAAGGAAAGTTGTCTTCACATCCATCTGCCCAATCTCTAAATCAAGGGTAACGGCTAAACTTAACACAACTCGAA